CTATTCTATTCTATTCTATTCTATTCTATTCTATTCTATTCTATTCTATTCTATTCTATTCTATTCTTTCTATTCTAAACAACAGGTCTGACAACAGCACTGTTTGAAGAAGATCACAAAAAAATTAAAGTAGCATTAGTTATAAACTAATACAAGAAACGTGAAACCATGCCAACATCATCTCCACATTTTATACCAGACTTACAAGCAAAGGTGTAATTTTTAAAAAGGCTGAAAATTTGCTATCAAAGAACCACTAAAACACAAGGAAAAAAATTGAGAAAATGTATTTTTGTGCTTTTCTATATAATTAAAGTCATGACTTATGAGCTAATAATGCTTTGTGTTGACTCTTGTCTATGTAAGATCCCAAGCCATAGTAAGTAGCCATATTACTTCTTTATTACCAATTTCCAGCCAAATGTTTTATTTTTCCATCTAGTTTGGGAATGCTGAAAGGGTTGCAAAGAATATTGTGGACCAGATTTGGCTCATTCATATTTATATAATAAAATACTGATATCTAGCCTGGAAAATGGGCATATTTGTCTTTTGAACTGTCCTTTCCAAAATGAACCAACGCAACATGGTTTTAAAATACTGCCTGAAAACATATAGTTTTATAATAAAGAATACATATAGTTTTATAATAAATCAGTACAAATATTTGTACTGATTAGTATATCTCATGATGTGGATGAAAGTCCCTTGAGAAAGCTCTAATGCCAGAATTCCTTGCACATTCACATTTTCAATTCCATTTTATAAATCCTCATTATATATTGCAAACATCAGCATGATCTAAACAGATCTTTATTCTGAAGTATTAGGGAGATCCAGATAGTGTGATTATGTATCTCTCCTTAAATGGGAAGAACAAAATCTGCTTACAGTAAAAGTCTCTGACATTAGGAAGCATGTTTGTTGTCATGAAAGCTATTTTCTCAGCTTATGACAATGGCTTATCTTCACTGACACTCCGTATCCAAAGCATCTTGATTAGAACTTTTCATTGGGTAATCAATAAAAATGAATCAAACTTTTCAGAAGGTTATCAGTACACAATCATAGCATCTTAATTAATTAATCTTAATTAATATTTTTAATTAAGGAAACTCATTTTAAATAATTCAGTTCTCTAAATGAAGATAATTTGTTCAACTCAATATCTCAATCATCTTGAAGTCTATAATCTTTTTGACTTTACACATTATAGCATCACCTAGAAAACTAATTAAACTGACCTTTCCACCACTACATATTTATTCTTCTTTTATATTATGCTTTGGGCTATGACCAAGTTTCCCCTATTAATATATTTTCCATACTCTTCAGTTCCTTACCACTCACCTCCAAATCAGCTCTTAACTTCCAGGGTACTTCTCCTCCTCTCCCATATGACATATTTACTATCCTATCCCACCAACTTCTATATATGGAAGCTCTGAGTATTTTCTTAATGTCATGAATCAGGAGTAAAAACAACTCAGTTGTACAAGTTTTCGCAAGAGGTTAAGTTCTCTAAGCCTAGTTTGATTTATTTCATAGGTAAATGAATTCAAGATTGCAACACATTTTTGCCTGAGAAGGCAGAACTTCAGTTCTTGATACTAAGATTTGTTTATAAATTATTAATTATAAAAAAACACTTAGGACATGCCAGAATATCTTCTTAATCATAACTACAGCAAAATAAGTGTCAGTGATTCCAGAGGGCATATTCCCAAGAAAAAGAATAAAGAGTAAGAAAAATGGAAATATTTTCCCCCAAAAGATTTGCACGATAATATGAATTTTCAGCCTCATTTTTTCAGACTAAGCCGGTGTCATGCTGTAGGTATAGATGTCAGCCCTTCAAGTGGATCAAATTAGGAATCCAATGCCATATACACCAATACTATTTTTATAGTAAAGCTATAGTAACAGAATTTTGGAAATCTGAATGCACTTCCCCACTCTCTCCCTTTATTTTTGTGAGGAGGATTTGTGTGTAATTCTTACTGTTAACATTCCTTCCCAGGAATCAGGGATCTTTTATCTGTTTATAGATTTGAAATAAGAATGGGAGATATTTTCCTTTGTATTTTTAGAGAAAATGATATGGTACTGTGTAAATGAAATTGATTTCTTGCTTAAAGTTTATATATCTATATAAATCACAGGCCTGATCCACAAAAACACACTGAGACATAATGGAGACCTAGAAGATGAACAGACCTATGGAACAGCTGTTCTGCCCTACATAAGAGATACTACAGACAAAATCAGTAAGATACTACACAGGCATCACATCAAGACTGCCTTCAAAACAGACAGAAATACAGCCGCCATCCTAAGAAACCCCAAAGATAAAATTGACCTGGAAAACCAAGGCATATATGAAGTCCCCTGCGCATCATGCCCTGCCACATACATCGGACAGACCAATAGAAGAATAAGTACCCGCCTGAATGAACAGAATAATGCAGTAAAAAAGCTGGAACACATTTCCTCATTAGTCCAACACATGAAAGCCACAGGTCATAGCATCGACTTCAATGGCACCAAAACCCTAGCCACTATAGAAAACCCCAGCCACAGAATTATCAGAGAAGCCATAGAGATTGAAAAAAGGACCTGAAAGCATGAATAGAAGAGATGACTCCACCAGACTGTCAATTATCTGGAAGCCTGCACTCACAAACAAAAAATCTCCACACCACAAGCCAAGCAAACACCTGGGCACAAACAGACCTCCCCCCCGATACCTCCAGCTCAAACACACCCCAACCAGGCACCCAGATGAAACCTAGCTTCCTAATAAATGATCGCCGTCTGTTTACTCGAAGCCAAGCCGCACTAAAAGCCTCCAATACAGGAAACACAATGTTGCCAGCCAATCAAGACAAAAAAACGCTACAAAACAGACAGAAGATATTAGAAACATCAATCAAGCAGAACACAGCAAACTCCAAGACCAATAAACACAGACCAAGACTTCCAACCAGTCAGGATGAAGAAAAAACCATTCTAACACAGCAGTAGGCTAGCACCAAATTTAAAACAGAAACGGCTGTTAAAGCCTGACTCACAGACGAACACTATACAGAAGCCTGATGATGGCAGATGAGATTCTGCCGAAATGTCACTACAACTTTAAAATCACAACTATAATGACATGGGAAAATACCCAAACAAAGCTGAATACCTTCTATATAAAACTATATATATATTTATGGTAGCTCTTAATGGACTTTTGTGGATTAAGATTGAATGAAGAGGCTTTGTTATTTTTAACAGATAAAAGATGAGATATAGGATGAAGAGAATTTTGGTTGAAATGTTAGGAAACATTTTATGTTACTGAAATTGTTTGTTTGTACTTTTCTTGATCAAAGAGGAAGTCTTTGAGTGAGTGAAAGAAGGATGATCACGCCTAGGTTAATTTTGAAGGAAGAAGATGCTCTAAATTTATATGCAGTTATATGAGAGGCAAATGGTTTTTATATTTAGTCAAATTCCAGTGGGGGAGAAGGCTTAGCTGGGAAGGAAGTAATTCTGCTGACTTATCTTTCTATGAAACTATTTTTAAGCTGCACTGAAAGAAATATCAACATATTTTACAGTTCATGAATGAAATATTTCAAAAGGCTCAAAATTAAACTAATATTAATTTTTCACCTAGTTTTTCTTCCAAAAAAAAAAAAAAGTTTAAGACCTTTTAGTATCACTATTGCTGGATTAAAAGATTGCACGATAGCTGAATTTTAAGCTTGCTTTAAAATGTAACAAAAATTTCTTCCATTCCACCATCTAGATCATCTACAACAGTTTGCTTAGTGACCATTTGAAGTTACACTTATGATTGTTGTAGCATTCCTATGGTCTTATCATCAAAATTCCGATGCTTGACTCATATTTATGACAGTTGCAGTGTCCTGGGGTCATGTGATCATCTTCTGATAAGCAAGTCAATGGGAAAGCCAGATTCACTTAACAACCGTGTTACTAACTTAAAACTGGCAAGAAGAGCCATAAAATGGATTAAACTCAACAACTGCCTCACTTAGCAACAGAAATTTTGGGCTCAATGTGGGGAAAAATATATATATGCCCTTGGCATGTAACTTTGATGGAGCAAAATGCTATGTTGCTTATCTGTCTCAAAGATCTATTTATCATGCATGTTTGATACAAAAGGCAGTATTTTTTTCAGATAAATCAAGCATTTTTAATTAGAAATAAAATATTCCAACGTTCTACAAGCCATAATGAATACATGTATTTCCTGTTTAAATTAACTTTGAGTTTGGCCTCTTCTAGGTTTGCTCAGGGAGGCAAATTGCTGGTAGGCAGAAGCCGAAGGGTGGGGGGCGGTGGGTGGGCGGGGCTTTGGCAACATTGGCTGTATAAGACGCACAGACATTTCCACCCACTTTTTGGTGGGGACAAAAGTGTGTCTTATACACCGAAAAATATGGTATATTATGCACATTAATGGAACTCTATAAGGGCTTAATATTCAGTTTTTGAAATTGCCCAGTCTATCTTGTTATGGTGCAGAGTGCATCCCATCAGGACTGAATTCCGAAAAGTAACTGAAAAAAAATGGAGCTTCATCCTGCATTTTATATTCCCTTCCAGCACACTTTTACTGAGCCCTAATTTTTATCAATCTTATTCTTGATCTCTTTGGTGACTCTACCTAATGCAGTAATGCGCAAACATACACACATATCCTTTTAATAGGGCCAAACCAGGATTGTAGAGGGACCATTTACAAATACAGAATGATACGTACATACTTACACTGTACATAATTTTACACAATCTAATATGTAAAAGCTTATTAAATAATTATTTGTGGCAAAAAGAAATGAAACAGGATGGCTAAATAAAACTGGCACAATAAACATATTATCCTTCAAACTAAATTGGAATATAGAATGTATGTTGTTAAAGATAATTACTTGAGAACAATCAAACAAGAATGGGGGTGAGATTATTGAAGCAAAAATATGGATCAATGTGTGACATGCAATGGAGAAATCCATCACATATAGAACCTTTCTCTCTCTTGCCGAGTGAGTTAAAAATTACATTTCTCCATTATGCATTTGGTTCATAGCTTACACTGAAAACACAAGGATGCAAAATAAAACGAATGGCTCTCTTTCAGATCAGTAGAAAAGCCATTCTGCCAAAATAAACATTATCTCCTCACCGACACGCCCTCTCCTGTCAGGGCTGAACAAGACTGAATCTGCCAAACTCGATCCCGGATTGTGTGCAAGTTCAGACCCTCTGCAATTTCTGCAGCAGGGGCTGCCGTCAGTAAATCTTGTTTGTTTGCAAAGATGAGTACTGGAACGCCACTTAGCTTTTCTTCATCAACCAGCTCTGCTAGTTCCTGAAATCATAAAGACATGTGCAGAATTTTTTATAAAATGAACAAGATTTTTTCCCCCTAAACAATTCTGGAGAAATACCATAACACAATATTTTATTGTAGCAGTATAGATGCTAGAATAAAGAATCTGGGTATGTAACACAAGCAAGCACTAACACTACCACAATTTAAAGTAAGTTTTTTCTAAAATTATAACAGAGTATAGAATAATTGCCTTCAAGGCAACAGCAATGGATTGCTAATCCCAACCCTCAAGGGATTAGTACTTATGAAACAGCCAAAGTAATATATATAAGCATACCTATAAGTGAATTTACCAGTATAGTGGAACAGCTCTTAAAAACAATTCATTTTAGCCTACAAATGCTTCAAATTCTGCAATCCTAAATATAAATTTTAAAGTTTGATCCAGTTTATTCATCTCTAATATATGGATCGTTAATACATCTTTTTTTTAAAAAAATGTAATCTTCATAAGGTAGTTTTGATTACTAAAAGGAATACTGAACATCCCTGTATACTGGGCTTATGTATTCATTATTTATGTACTCATTAAATGAGTGCATTGAAGATTAAATACAAACTGATTCTGCAAATATCATTCTAAACTAAATTCACTGTAAGATGACCTTAAAAACACTCCTAAAATTAAAATAGGATAAGATAACCTTTATTATCATTTTTTACTGTGAGGGATAGGAACTTATGATACAGCATACTCAAATTTTATATTTTCTGTTAATGGCATAAAAAAGGGAAATAAATGGAATGCAAAATGATAATTAGCATTTCAAAGATAAGCATACACTTTGGGTGGTTGGAGGCAGCTGGAAAAGTGTTATAATTATTAAAGGATAATAGCCTAATACCTCAAATCATTGCTCAACATAACATGAATTCAAATGATGGGAACATTGTATCATAAATCAGAATTTACCAATCACTGCATTAAATTATCAGGAAAATCTTCATATTTTAAAGATGGTACAACATAGTCTATATAATTCAGATCTGAGTGCAAAAAATAAAATTATTTGGGTCAAACTTGTGAAAATTGAAAGGAGACTTTAAAAAATAATTTCCTTGTTTTCACTAATTACCTATTTTTAAAAACTGTGACATACTTACTTGACCAGTTTCTTCAAATCTTTTTCTATCAGCACTATCAATGACATAAATCTAGAAAGCAAATAAGGAAAACAAGCTTAAAAATTCAAGTGTATGATGCCATTTCACACACAGTATATCTGTAATAACAAGTGTTTGCAATAATAACCTCTCAAAAGTAAGTAATGAATGCCTGTTGAAATTAATGGAACTTGTAATAGGGCAAAAAAATCAGTCTAAGATAAAACTGTCATCTCTTTTTTTAGTGTTTTATAACACTTTTTTCAGCTGTGGGCTGTACAGAATTCTCAGAGTGAAAGACTGTAGTTTTGCAATATTAGGTATAGGAAGAAAAAAAATTGCTTGATAAGTGATAACTTACCAATGTACCTGTAAACACAAGTTGTGATTACTGGTATATCACAACCCATTCTTTTTGTACCTTGACTTCTTCCCTCCTTTACTTTTTCTGCCTCGCTTAATAATTGAGTCTTGGGAGTAAGGGAAAATGAGCGTGGAAACCTCTGACTCCTGGTGTTTATGACTGCAATCTAGTAGAATTGAGCCCATATTTTAGCAACCACAAACCATTTAAATGAAGTATTTCCAATTGTAACTTAGGATCTCAAGATAGAAACTCTGTTTCAAACAATCATGTCTTAAGCTGAGAGATAAATGAGAGCCTATACACATCTTTCTGCTATACAAATAGCAGCACTACCTTCCAGGTTTTTTTCAGATTGGGAAACTATAGTTACTAATTTAAAAACAAAATCAGAATCCTAAACTATGTTATGAGGTTCATTTAGGATTCTGGCTTTCTCTAAAGCTAAAAAGTGCTTTGTCCTAGTTCAAAGTTAAAAAGTTATAAGAAGGGGGAGGGAAGATGACGATGATAATGAACTGAAGACTAGTATATTTAAAACTGTTAGGCAGTTTTAAAGCAAATGGCTTGTGTTTGTGGGCAGTTTCATTCAAATGTTGGTTATTATCCAAACTAAGATAATATAATCCCTTGAAATGTACCCTGTATACCAAGCTTGACAATGTTGTCATTCGAGGATGTTTAGTAGTTGCATAACTGGACATGGGAGCAATTTATATACATCATCCCAAAGACAACATTTATAATAATGACATGCTTTTATAGTCCTGATGAAACATTGAATTAAGCTTCAAGAGACAGCTATGTTTGCAGAACCACTCACAAGATCCCTGGAGCATCTGACTGTCTCTAGGACTTTTCATCTAAGTTTAACTTATGAGAAGCATCTCACTATAACTTGAGAAGGCAGACCTAATGCCAACATTACAACGAACAGCATTGCATCAAGCAGGATACATATACATTATCAAGTCCCTTCTTCCATATCTGGAAGCTTTTGTGCCAAGCAGCTGCAGGTGTACGTCTGAATATGCAATCATTCAAATATACACACCTTTATTTGTGCATAGCTTCCAAATAGCACAGGTGTGGGAGGCTGAAGTATCTCCCATTCAAACACACCTGCGTGTTTATGAATGTGTAATCACTTCATGTGTTAAAAATATTCTTGGAGGGGGCCTCTCACTTGCGCAATATTCTTCAACTCTGAGCCAAGACAGGCTTCTTAGCTAGCATGCTGTCTGTTTAAAAAAATCCCTTCAAGGCAAACTAATGTAGCCCCTAATCCAGCTTTCCCTTTACTATGATAGTGGGTTAAAATGGAATAGCACAAGAAACATTGGGTTTAACATCTCAATATGAAGGATGTTGGATAAATAATTTTTGAAAGAAAATTATGTGTAAAAATGATTTTATATGAATTTGCTCACTGTGTTTGTGTGTGAGCAATGTCAGTTTTCTTTTTGAATTTCTTAGTTACACATTTAGTTAGTTGAATTTAAAGTTACACATTTCTTTGCTTCATAATATCTGTACAAGAAAGTCAGACTAGAGTTTAAAAATCAGTATTTAATTAAAATCTTTATAGGATAATTAAACTTGCCAAGATACAATATATATTGTTAATCACATGCTATTTTGTCCACATACCATCCATTACTCAAGTTACAGCCCTGCTTTACTTGTATAGATTATTCATGTGATGCACCCAAACTATTGCATGGGAATATGTTCATTTCATTGCTGCTAATTTAGCAAAAAGTAGCATTCTAAATGTAACAATAAACTTGTACAGAATCTACATAACATCAGCAGTGAGTTCCTTGAAAATGGTATAAGTATCAACAATTATTCTAAAACTTACTTTCGCTATGATTCAAAAATCCAACTAATTGAAATGATGCAGTATTACAGCTCCAGGTTGGGGCTGTTAGTCACTGATCCACTAACAGCCTTTATACTTTGGTTATAAACTTGCTACAGCAAAATATTACCTTTAAGTTGAAACCAATGGGCAAGGATACAAGTGTTAATATTCCCAGGGGGAGTGGGAGCAGATCAACAACAATACAAGAATAAATTCTGCTGTAATCAGGCAAACTGCTCCTAGCAGAAATTACAAAGTAGAGGGCAGAAAATCATTTATCTACTTCATTTCTCATATGATTTCAAGCAATCTAGAATCCATGGATTTACATTTGACAACACTGTTGTGCCAGAATATTTAGCCTGTACTTTTAGCATTACATTTTCCAGAGAAGTAGTTAGATTTGTTGGCTATAATTAAAGTGTGTGACTCAAGGAATTTAAAAACCTGTATATTTATTACAATAAAGCTTTTATGGTTACACTTGGTTTTATAAGATGCATAAATAATTATTCTGAGTGAATTATTAGCACTTGGAAGGAATAATAAATAGTATATCTGAGAAAAATAAAATTCAGGACATGCCTATAATGCTATATACCTATTAATGGTACTTACCAATTAAAAATGACAATTAAAAAAACAATATTTGCCTATGACATCAGATATGCTTGCCTTGGTGAATTGATTATACACATAGTTTAAAAACAACTTTTTTTGCCCATTATTGTAAGATATTGTATTTAGACATTTTTACCTGAACCCAGATGAAAGCATAGCTTAATTTATGTTAGCATTTTCAGCCACAATTATATGCATGAATCTGGATCTGTGGCTCTCCTAATCCCACAGGAGGCACTTTCCACTGAGCAAATAAATGTGAAATAGAGCTATCTCAGGAATAGCATTTCCACTAGTGTAGCTTCCATGTCGCCATAGCTAAGAAATTACTTGAAATCAAAGAGGAAGTTACAAAAGGTTCAGTTGTCTCCGATCTGGGAACACTGGCACAAGCCCCAGTTGGCCACTTAATTTTATTATGAAAATAATAAAAATATTTTAAATGAAGTAATGAAAAAAAGTCAGAAAGCAGCAGGCAGCAAATCTTTACAAGTTGACATGAGCATCTGGCCATAGAAGGAATAGTGTTGAAATGGTTTACTTGATGCATGAGATTCCTGGCTTAATGCTGAGTTAAAAATCCAGTCTTCCTTGTATGAATATGGCTTTTGTCTCTGTTTATTCCATGGTAACAGAACACAATCTCTTAATTACAGCTGAGCTAAGCATAAACTAGTTTCGCTACTCCCTTTGCTAGAGACTCTATCGTCTGGTCTCACTGGATTTTCCCTCCACTGAATTATCAGAGAATTCTGTTTGTGCTGCTGCTACTGCTGCTGCTTTGCAAAAGAAAAATGTTCACCTCACTCTGACATGGATATACCTGTATTAACTGGAATGTCTCTGCAGCAACATATTGTCCTGATAAGATCTGAACCATTCTTGGAAGTCTATGAGCTCTCCATTCAGGCCTTCTCTTTACCAGGGTACAGAGTTGGTTTGGTTTGTAATTGGCAAACTTCTCCTTTCCCTGCATTACTTTTGATTCTTGCTTAGAAATTTTTATTTGTAGAAAGTCTGACTTTAAACTTTCTAGAGTAGCTATAGATTGCAGTCGTTATCCTTTTGTTTTTAAGCTTATGGTGATTTGTAACAAAGAAATGCTCTGGTAGTTTTCTGCCTTTTTGGTTCCAGGTAGTCCTCCTTAACAACCATTCACTGAAATACAGTTTGAAATAATAACTGCCTTAGAAAGGGTGTTCATGACTTGTAAAGCTCTTCTGACCATTGCAAAATACTGAATCCCCCTTCCCCTCCACCCAGTCACATGATCATGATTTGGGTGTTTGGCAATTTGTTTGCCCCTACCATTGGTTGCCAAGTGCCCTGCAATCATGTGATCACCATTTGTAATCTTCTCTGCTGGTTTTCCCCAGAAAGTCACTGGGGAAGCTGGCAGGGAAGATTGAAAGCTGCTGTCATTTGCTGAGAGGACTCATATTCATCTCTGAGAGCTGGCTGAACGAGCTCCTTGTCAAAAGATTTCAGCTCCGTGCAAGCAGATACGCCACTGAAATCTTTCTCTCCCTATCTCTCTGTTGCCTATGCAGCACCTGTAGAATTGTGAGGAGAAAAAGATTTTTAGCTCTGTAACTGCTGCTAAAAGCCAAGCAGACATGTGGCTGAAATTCTTCTCTCCCTGAAACTCTGTCCCTGTAGAAGTGCAGGAAGCATCATACCTGCAGAGCTGCAAACAGCTCTGTGCCTGTGGAGGTGCAGGAAGAAAAGGATTTTTTGTTCCATGTCTGCTTGGATTTTGGCTGCTGAAATCCAGACACGCAAGGGGCTGAAATCCTTCTCCCACAGTTCTGCAGGCACTGAGCTGCAAGGAGCTCCATGCCTGCAGAGCTACTGGGAGCTCCATGTCTATGGAGCTGCAGGGAGAGAAAGATTTTTAGTTCTGTCCGTGCTTGGATTTTTTTTGCTGCCAGTAAAGATAAGTGGGTTGCTTTGCACACAGTGGTGTGACAGGGAGCAAGCAGAGCAGGCTAAGGCCTCCCAGGCCTCCCAGGGAACAGGCTGAGGCCTCCTGGGCCTGATGGGGCAGGGAGCAAGCCAAAGCCTGCTGAGGCAGGCAGGGGGCAAGCCAAAATGTCCTGGGCTTGCATCTCACTGCAGGACACCTACAACTTGTGCTCAATCTGTGCTGGGACTCCCAGGGCCGCACACACTGCCGAGGAATCCCTGCATTCCTCTTAAAAAAATGTGCTATTGCTTAATGTCTACAACTGGAAGATCCAGGATTACAGTCATTGAGTGAAGCAGTCACATGACATCTCACTTTAACAATGGTTTCACTCAGAAATTGAGATGCTGGTCCCAATTGTGGTCGTTGAATGAGGACTACCTGTATGTTTTCTGTAATAAGTACATAGATTGTCTCTTCCTCGCTGGATATTACTTGGTGCATTATGCTTGTTTATGCAGTAGTGAATCAATGAGCAACTTTGAAACTGATGGTAGCTTCTCCTTTTAATATTCAGGAAGGTATGGACTATCCCAAGAATAATATGGGTTGTCTACCACACAACTTTGGATTCTCTTGCTATTCTGGTTCTGTGAATATCTAGTTTTCTATCTATATTAAGTGCTACTGGATTTTTTAATAGCAAGATAATAGGAATGCCACATTAGACAAGAAACTATTTCTTGGACTCAATTTGTCATCCATAATAGGAAATAATACTGCCTTATTTTAAAGAGCTGTTGTCACAAACATCACCATAACAATTAACACAAATCTGAGAACTTAAAACAGTGAGTGGCATGGGGTAGCGGTGGAAGGAAGTTCCCAAATGTGATGTGCAAAAGATATTAAAATGTGAACAGCTCCTTAAAATGTTCCTTCCCTACATGAAATTGAGTTGCCTATTTGAAATATTTCATCTCTGTTTTATATAGCATTCAAGAAAAATATGGGTATGAATGAAAAGATCCCACATCATAATTCAATTCATTCTTTTCAATCTGAAATATCACATAATTTCAAACAGAAGGCAATATCAAATGAAACTATCCGGTAGCACATGGCTGAGTTAAAATAGTTAAAAATAAAAAGTTTTTAAAGATTTCATAAATTGACATATGCATACTTGCTTTGCAAAGTGCACCTCCTGTCTACTACAAAATAAATGGAGGTATTTAGCAGCAACATATCTTAAATTTAAAATCCCCGTGTTATTTAATATACCATATAATGCATCCAATGCTTACCAGGATATCAGTGTTCTCAAAATAATTTCTCCAATATGGCCTGATTTTCCTTTGTCCACCAATATCCCACACATTCAACTTGAAACCTTGTGCTTGCACACTTTTAATGTTAAAACCCTATAATAAATAAAGTTAAAACAAAAAAAAACATGAGTGGATACAGTACTTGGTTACAGTTTCATTAGCTCATACTACTCACAGCTTATATATCACAACCCTGGAAAATGTAACAAGATAAAGCCTATATCACTATTCAGATGAACTGACTGTAGACAAGGTGAAGGATATAGTAGTAGCCTTGCCTGAGTCGGGATCTATTTATGTCAAATTAAAAATATATATGTTGCAGCTTATAACGAGAACGGAGAGGCACACAGGGAAGTCAAAGAATAAGCAAATAAGGAGAAAACAAAATGCCTCTGTTCTGAAAGTCAAACCTAATGGGCAGATAATCAGAAGCAAAACCCTATACATAACTTCATGTAAGAAAAGTGGAAGCACCAGCTAAATTTCTGAAAGACCCATTTCATCAAATAAAGCTCCAACTGAAAAGGGTGTGCAACTAGAAAAAACGAGAAGTGATGCAGACTGGCCACAAACTGTGGCGCAATACAAGGGATAGGTTTTAAGCTTAGAATCGGAGAGTGGGTTTTATTTTGAGGCACGGGAGGATTTCATCAGCAATTGCTTACAATCTAGACCCGGCGTACAAACCTCCAGCACCACCTGCTGGCATTTCTGAGATGCTCATAATTGGGTATCATTTGAGACTTCGCTTGTGCAAAAAAGAAACAAAAGAAATGCCTGAACTACAAGTCTATTCTTTTAATATATTACATACCACACACACACACCCTATATCTGGTAACATATGAATACAGGTAGTATTCAATTTACAACCATTCATTTAGTGACCATTCAGCATTACCATGGCACTGATAAAAGTGACTTATGATAGTTGCAGCATCCCCATGGTCGCACACTCAAAATTCGGAGCCTTCGCAACAGGTTCATATTTACGATGGTCACAGTGTCATTGGGTCATGTGATTACCTTTTGCTACCTTCTGAGAAGCAAAGTCAATGGAGAAGCCAGATTCACTTAACAACCATATTACTGACTTAACACTTGTAGTAATTCACTTAACAACCGTGGCAAGAAAGATCATAAAATGTGGCAAAACTCAACAACTATCTCACTTTGCAACAGAAGTTTTGATTGGGATCAATTGTGATTGTAAGTTGAAGAGTCTTGTATATATACTACCCAACAGTGCATCTAGACCAGGGGTGTCAAACACAAAGCCCGTAGGCTGGATCTGGCCCATGATGTGGTCGGATCTGGCCTGCAGGGCCATCCTGGAAAATGTAAGGGGCTGACCCACATCGCTTCAGGTCGGTCTACCCAATACGAAGAGGAAACATCGGGCCAGCGTGGCTTCAGCCCAGTCTACCCAGT